TCTCCCCTCTCTCCCCTCCCCCTCCGTGGCCCACTCCCTCTGTCCTTCCCATCACAAATAAAAATACACAACTGCCGAGTTCAATTGAACTTCCAATAAACAATGAACACATTTTAATAGTATATCCCAAATTTTTGCATGGGATACACTTATACTAAAAAAGCATTTGTTGTTTATCTCACATTCAAATTTAACTGAACGTCCTGTACTTTATCTGGTAACCCTGTCCCCTCCCTCTCCTGACTCTCCTTCCTCTTACTCCCTTTCTCTTTCCTTTCCTGCCCCCTTTCTCCCCGCTTCCTTCCCCTTTATCTGCTCCCCCTTTTCTCCCCTCCCACGACTGACTCAAGCCACAGGGACGCTCTCCAGCTCTCTAGGGCCCATCCAGGGAGCCCAGGAGATTGAAGCAGGGCATCCAGACACTCAGAGGACCTTTGCGAAGACAGCTTATGTGGGAAAGGAGCCAATAATGCCTCTGGGTTCCTGAGATCAGAAATCCACCCTGGGCTGTCCTGGCAGACAGTGGCTCTCATATGTGGTGACAATTATTATTACAATTATGGGCATTTCTGAGTCCACTGCTCCAGACTTGCACCTCCAGGCTGCTGAACTCTCAAGCTGCCCTCTGACACAGGTCCTGGTCCTGTTCTTAAAGACTTCCTGGGGGCCCCCAGGATGTCCCCCGCCCTGACTAGATCTTGCTTGCAGTTGTCCTCCAACCCTCTCCCTTGATGGGGATGAAACGGCCACAGGAGCTAAGGCCTCTAGAGCCACAGTCTCAGCCCAGTGGAGCAGGGCACTCGCCTGCCTCTGTCCCCAACTCCCAGTTTGAGAGGAACAATGAGGCCAGCTGGCAGCCAGGGAAGACCCCTGGGCCCTCCCACGGAGATTCTGATCCAAGAACTGGAGGGGGGATTGCTGTCAGAATTGGTCAAAAGCTCCCCAGGTGGAGCCTCTGCTTGGGGGGTGGGGGTGGGGACTATGATTTGACAAGTGAGGTTGCATGCCAGCGATGCAACTCTTTCCAATGAATGTGTTATTATTCAATCTGATGAGTGATCTACTATTAAACTAGTTCTTACCCTTGTACAAATTATATTCATCAAACTCCAACGTCTTTCAAATCTTTAGCACTCCTGATTGCAATAGGGCCATCTATTCTCTTTTTTTTTGTACAAATGCAGGGATTGGAATATTGTTTGATCTTACATTATTTAACACATTGTATGCGGGAAACGTATTTATACGTTTTACGTTGACTGGTAGTAAAGTGCGCGATAAAGACTACCCACAAACAATGTGTTAATAATGGCTGCTTTTAACAACCAGCTTGCAAATTTTCTAAAACTGTACCACCCAGCTCATGCTAGCTAGAGCAAGCTGGCCCTACCTAGCCATGTCTGTGTCACACATGGGCCGCACCAGGTCCAGTGTCAGGTGCATGACAGACATTCTCCTCTCTTCTGTGCTCACAGCAGCCTGGTGAGGTGGTGTCATTAGCCCTACTTCACAGATGAGAAAACTGAGTTTCAGAGGTGATAGGACCCCAGGCATGCTGCCACCAAGGCTCCTGTTCTTCCCACTCCAGCGGGCCATCCCTGTCCAGTCTGTCATTTGTTCATTAAATGTTAGTGGTCACTTTCTTGGTGTCAGTCACTGGGATATAAAGGGAAGTTTGCCTTCTTTCCTTCTGCAAGATTCAGAGGCCCCAGAGGGAGGGTCAGTGAGCCTCAGAACCAGATGTGGGTAGGGGGACACTGAGGCTGACAGAGACTCCACTCAGTCTTGCCTTGAGGCCTGGGCATGAGAGGTCTTAAAACTCCTTGTGTTTTAAAACTCCTTGCTCTGGCCCACCTCTTGGGGTAAGAATACCAAGGGGTTTATGGGGAGGTACCCACCTGGAGCCTGCTACCTACTCATCCAATCTTCCTTCTAGACCAAGCTCTGGGTACTCAGAAGTCTGGAATCCCTGCCCAGGTAACCCTGAGCCCATGTCCAGGGCCCTGAGGCCCCCACCTGAGCTATGCTGGGCCTCCCTTTGTCCCGGTCTGGGCCCCCGAGCTCTGTGTAACCCAACTCTTTCCCTTGGCCTGGTGGAAACAGAACTATACACCTGCGAAACTGAAGCCTGCTAGGGGCCCAGCATATCAGGGGACTCAGGGAATAAAGCGATCAGAACACCAAATCTAGGCTTGATGTCAGGGAAGAGGGGACCTCAGAGACCACCTAAGCTGACCTACCACCTTACAGATGGGAAGACTGAGGCCCAGAGAGAAGTGTGCTGCGTGTGAGTGCAGACCTGGGCTCTTTGCTCTGTCTCAGCCAAGTACAAGGGCCCCTTCTCTTGTTGGGCCCTGAGCCCTAGCTGGTTAATTGTTTCTCTCTCTCCATCCCCTATCCCCTGCCTCCCGCATATCCAACTATTGAGTTCTGGGGGAAAATCAAGTGAGCTCTCTCTCTCCTCTCCCTTCCACTTGTAAATCACACTGACAGATGTAACACCAACATTTCTACCTGTGAGCCTTTCCCCCCTCCCCCGGCCTCCTCTGCAGCAGCTGCCTCTTGTCTGTGGGTGGGCCCACATTTCCCCCTGGCACTTTTTCCCACCAACAAAAACTGAGCAGAGCAAATTGCTTAATGAGACCCATATTTTGCTGTGAGTTGCTAATTAAAGAGCAAACCCAACCTACCATTAATTTGGTCCTGGGAAAGAAACTTGGCCTGCAGCAGACAGAGGAAAACAGTCAGGGAGGGCTCTGTGAACACGCCCCCCCACAGCCCTGTCAGACCCGGCCCAGCAGGTGACACAGACCCTCGCTTACCATCTCGGGCCTCCGGCTGCACCCCTGGGCTCCCTGCTCCCAGGACTGCCTTCTTGGTTTCCTTCCTCCCCACTTCAAGTCGAAAGTCCACCAAGCTGGGCGGAGGGCCTGTAATAAACCCGCGGCTGCCATGGAGACCGGGCCCAGTGCCAGGGGTCAGATTCCAGCTTCCCTGCGCATCTGATGCCCAGCAAGGCCTGGGTAGAGCAGCAGGCTGGATTTTAAGAAAACAGGGCTGCAGAAAGTCTCCCTCGGGCCTTGGTGCTGCACCAGGAAGCTGATGCGCTGGAGCAAATGGACAAACATTCCTTCCTGGGAGCCCTGGACACCAAGAGGGGGTCAGTGACACATAAAAAGTGGGGCCGGGATGGGGCTGTCCTGGGCCCTGCCCTGGGGGTCTTTTTTTCTCTCTCCTGGGACTAAGCGGGGAGCTGACGAAGTGCTACTTTCTTAGCACGCTGTCTTAAGAGTCATCACACACTGTCTTAGAGGCAGGGAGGAGACCTTACCATGTGGCCTCTGCCACCATCCAAGCCTTGGGATGCTTATGGAGAAGGGACAGGCTTTGGTGCTCTCAGGTTGGATTCAAATTCTTTCCCTCGTGCTCATTTGCTGAGTGACCTTGGGATGTCATTGCACTGCTCTGTGCCTGAGTTTCCATGCTGGGCCTCATCACAGGATTTTGAGAGAATCAAATGGCAGTGCATAGCTGGTTCTCAATGTGTCAGTTCCCTTCCCTCCTTCCAGGGATGCTAGGGATGGGGACAGGTGTGGGCCCTGGGGTCTAGGCCCTACAGTGGGCTCCCCAAGGGGCTCAGAGGGAGGCCTCTTGGGTGACTTTCCCAGCCAGGAAGCTTCTCCCTTTTTTCCTTTACTTTCTCTCCCATCTGCAGCAACTTCCTGCAGAAGCTGCTGACTCTCCCTATTTCCTCAGTGGTTTGTGCCGCTTCCCACCCACCACCACACACACACACACACACAGGAAGTGAGGGCAGGGTGGGGCATTCCCTAGAGCTGCTGAGCTGGGCACAGCTGGGTTCTCACCTTCCAGCTCCTTGTCCACAGCTGGGTGGCTGCCTTGTTTGTGGGGCTCCAACTCCAGGGCTCCACGCACTTTGTCAGGACCTGCATGTATGGCCACATGGGTTGTGCCCTGTACACCTGGTCCTGACCTAGGGAGTGAGTGGGTCCCAGCGATGGGCTGCATGTGCTCAGAGGAAGATGGACCTCTGGCTAATCTGTACAAGTACATGGACTAGTGGGGCCTGCCTCTGGTCAGTTTCCCCTCCCTCCCTTCCTGACCACCTCCATATGGAAAGTTCTCTTTTCCCAAATTGTGTGTTGAGTCACCTCTTCACACCTGTTTCTAGACCCAATTTCAGCTGGAGGGTTCTGACTCCCTCCTGTTGAAGCTGAGGAGAGGAGAGGCCCACCAGGGTGCAGGAGGCAGGAAAGGAGGGGAACTTCTGGCTAACAGCTTTGTGGGAGAGAAGAGGTGAAGGAAAGCCAGGTGGGACCCTGGAAGGGCAGGGGACAGGGCTGAGGCTCAGGGGAAAGTCTGGAGGGGCCAGGCCAAAGCGCACACTCAGAATCTCCCTGTGTTTGGGAAGGGGCTCATGGGGGGAGACAAGATGTTTCCTTGGTTTAAGTCAGTGTTCTGGGGTTTAGGGCCGTGTGCAAGGCATCCCCACTCCCACACCCTGGCCAACTCCTTCCTTAGGCTTTTAGGTGTCTCCAAGAGGTGTCCCTCATCTGTGGAAACACCTGCAGGAGGGTGGTGGCTACATGAGGGCTCACTATGCAAAAGTTCCTCCAGCCGTCTGCTGTCCCTGTTGTGTATATGCTACACTTCAACTCAACAGGGAAAAACAGAGCCCCCTCCATGTCCCTGGGGGCGGAGATGTTCACCTGAAGGGCCCCACCCCCAGGTTTCTGATTCAGTAGGCGGAGTAGGGCGAGAATAGACATTTTCTTTTGCCACCCTGATGTTGCCAGTCTTTGAAAACCACTGGCCTAGAGTTTTCTAGGGGGAGTGAAGCCAAGTGGCAGTTAGGAAGTATTTCTAGCCCAGCTGGCATGGCTCACTGGTTGAGCGTCGACCTATGAGCCAGGTCATGGGGCTTGATCCCCAGTAGGGGGCGTGCAGGAGGCAGCCAATCAATGACTCTCATCATTGATGTTTCTCTCTCTCCCTCTCCTTTCCTCTCTGAAATCAATAAAAACATATT